CATAGAAATTCTGTCAAAAAAAACTTTAGTGATACAAGATCTTTCTTAATTAAAACTAGTTTATTATTTCTCAATTCAACTTTGCAATACACTTAATTTCCACAGTCATTTAACTTAAACACACACTATAATTCACAATGAACGATTCACGCACTTTACTACCGCGCTTGACTCAATTGTTTGTCTCTATCTCTTCAATCTGCAATTATTCATATCTATGCCGTCACTTCTCGCCGGTCTTATATATACGAAATAGAGGGCGTCTGGAGAACACTCTTGGCTTCACGAACGTAAATGATCTTTCTAGAATCTCATGACGTGTTACTAGCGTCACGTGACTTCCACTGTCGTAACATACTGATTATTCTGATTCTGGCGTCAGAAGGGCTATCTTGCCAATGTTTGAAGTAGTTGTGATGATTTATAGTCAAAATGTTGTATTTTAACTTGGAAAGTGCAGAAGCAGCACTAACTTTAACACATGATGTTCATCAAGACAACTCATCACACCAGGCTAAAAGTGATGCCTTCATAGCGACTGCCATTCATTAATGTTAAAAAAAGTGGAAAAACAAGTAATTAATAAATTGAAAATATAAGGATGATGTAGGGATGGTAATGCCAAAAAGTACAGAAAAAAGGTAGGAATGAGTACACAAAACCATACAAAAACCCCAACATAAGTAGCCACTGAGTCGATGTTACAAGCTTATGGGAATTATCCATTGTAAGATATTATAGCATTATGCAGTTTAAATGCTTTTATTCAAAACCGAATTCATGCAAATGAAAGGAACTCAACATTCAGTTGTAGATAAAAGTTTTTCTTGGAAAGATTTGGCTAATTATGTAGAGATTTTTGTATGGTTTTTATGTATTTATCCCTACCTTTTTTCAGTACTTTTTGGCATTGCTATCCCTACATCATCCTTATTTTTTACAAAAAAAAATATATTACTTGTTCAAAATTATGCATGGGATTATATGTTTATGCTAGCTGTCTCTAATTTTGAAATGATAGACTAGTAAAAAGTCAACTAGTCAATGTCACTCGTCGCCAATTTTTGGGCTACTCTTTACCAACGAACAGTGGGATTGACCATAACATCATAACGTCTCCATGGCTGAAAGGATGAGCATATTCGGTGATGGGTTTCAATCCCGCAAATTGCGAGTCGAGTGCCCGAATTACGAAGCCATTTGTCTATTTGTTGTTAAGCGCGAAACTGCACGATTAACTACCTGTGATGTACTTATCGTAATGATCCAATTGTGGATCCTTGCGTTATAAGAACTCAAACTTACGTTCAGTCCGCAGGGCAGTTTGTAAAATGGAGTTTGTATTATGTTAAGCATTTAGACAAGTTTTTGTTGAATATAAGATTTTATAGTATTAATACGTATTTTATACTTTAAATTATCAGTAAGACTTAGCAGCTATTTTTCACACAATGAGTGAAAGTTACGAATGTATAGCCAGTCGAAAAAGTCTGCCATATTGTTATATTCTTATATCTAGATGGCATAGTGTTTGAAACCAGTAAATCATCACTAAATGTTTGATTTTGAAGAAACAAATTATCAGCAGAGTACTGATATTCATTGTAAGAAGCAATTTCATATTAAATATACATATAATTTACATCTATATACAATACCTAGCATGTGTTATTTGATATTCTCAGTGCAGTAGTGTTAGCTTTCAAGTTTCGTAAGTAAACATTTAAGAAATAGGCCTACGTCACGAAAATATGCGGTAATGGGGACAGCAAACATGGCGACAAACGGCGATGATGAAGAGTGTAATTTGAGGGATTGTGAGATCTATGTACAACGACATAACATTCAAGAAATTCTCAAAGATTGTATTGTACAGCTTTGCATCACCAGACCTAACGACCCCATTTTATTTCTAAGGGATTATTTTCAAAATTTAGAACGGGTGAGTACGCTCGTACAATAAATTAACTTCAGTCTTGAATAAGTTGAGTAACTAAATCTAACAGTAACATAGGTTAACGTAAGTCAGTCAGTTATCTGAATTTTATGAGATGCATCGTTGTGACGTTAATCCAAGTTATTTAAGTATAAGAACTACTTTGAATTCTCTAGAAAAAAAGTAACAAATATTTGTGGTAAAACTATAACCAAGCCAACAGCTTTAAATGTTAGTATTTATTACTATTTGTTTAGGCCTAACTTTTTCCTCTCCCACAAATTCTAGATCAGCTTTCTTTAAAGTTTAACTTAAGTTCTTATTATAGTTTATGTAAATTTGAAAATTAATTCAAAACGATTATTTGCATGTGTAGGCACTGTAAGTATATAAATTATTAATATTGAGTAATATTAAAAACATATAATTTATAAAGTTAACATAGTTGGTTTAATTATGAAAGTGTAACGTCAGGAAATTGTTTTTAAATCAAAGGTTAAAATTCTCATCCCTTTGAAATCTGGTGTAATATAGTAATACCCGTTTTTAAAGTATGATAATAATATTGTTAACCTGAGAAAATTTCCGTTACATTTCACAATTAATCGATTTTTTACGTTAATAGTAGGTGTGATTGAATGTAC